AATGGATTCGCATTAAGATAAATCCCATGCAGACTTGTTTACTAGTTGGAACACTGGAATGTGAGATATAATCTACACCTCCATTTGGATGATAGAAATCCTCTTTATTTTTAATGATTTTTCAGCGTCATTATTTCTATATAGCTACACTTTCTCGCTCTGAACTTCTAACACGAGTGGGATGGGTGTGGCTTCGTGACAACGATCACAAGAGCAGCTGTTCACTGATTTGACAGCTCCAATACAGTTCTACCTCCGACACTGCCAAAAACATCAGCTATGCGGGCGTCGGCTATCGCCGGTTAACATTTCATCTGCTGTTTTTATGAGTAAGTTCATGTTTAAGTTGTTATTCAGCACTGTCTACACTTTGTTCAACACTTCTATAGCCATAAAATGTGCGTTCTCCCTACCTCCCCTCACGCTACATCCAGCACTGAGCTGTCATGAATGAGTATAGAAAAGTGTTTCCGATAAGCTTGAGTTGTTATTAATTGCGTTTTTTGTCTCTTTTTTAATATCGAGGAATATTTCACTTTCTCTGGTCATAGGAGTAACGACATGAATTGGTGCATGAGGCAGAAATAATGCAGTGCGGCTTGAGTTTCGCCATCAGCTGGAAGACTGCGTCCCCTTTTCTAAGCAGAGGGAGGGAGAGAGGAGGGACGGTGAGTCAGGAAAGAGGCTCCCTCCCTCCCCTCAGACAGATGCAGGCCGTCAGTCTAGAAAAAAAATGTGCATTATGCTCACTCAGCTGTGCCTCACAAGTAATACAAATAATGATCTATTACCAGTGTGATCATATACCTACATTTTCAAAATATAATTTCAAAATGGTCTGAGAAGAACAACATTGGCAGGACAATTCAAGCGTTTCCAACATGCAGTGATGATGTATTGGGCCTATAGCCTATAGCCTACTGCACAAACCTCACTGCTACAGAACTGTTTATAATTGGTTAATGTTGCACAGGCTTAGGATTTTTAAGTCATGTTTTAAAGAAAGTCTGAGTGGTAGGTCTCGGCTTGCATTTTGACCCAGGAAGTGATTTTGACTCAGAAAGTGATCTTGACTCAGAAAGTGATTTTGACTCAGAAAGTGATCTTGACTCAGAAAGTGATTTTGACTCAGAAAGTGATCTTGACTCAGAAAGTGATCTTGACTCAGAAAGTGATCTTGACTCAGAAAGTGATTTTGACTCAGAAAGTGATCTTGACTCAGAAAGTGATCTTGACCCAGAAAGTGATCTTGACCCAGAACAGGTTGGTGACTACTGCTGTAGTACATTCACAGCGTGAGGGCAGGGGAGGATATAGCACAGCTGGCACTCAGACGTCAGTGGGGCAGCAGAATCAATCATTACGGCTGCACAGACACAGACCACAGACACAACACACACACACACACACACACACAGACACACACACACACACACACACACACACACACACACACACAACACACACAGACCACACACACACACACACACACACACACACACACAACACAACACAACACAACACAACACAACACACACAACCACACACACAACCACACACAACACACACACACACCACACACACCACACACCACACACAAAACACCACACACACACACAGACACACACACAAACACACACATACACACTATACTGTCTGACAGACAACTTCCCTTGCTGAACCATGGGATATAAAGACTCTATTTGGACTGGACTGGACTGGACTGGCCTGGACTGGCCTGGACTGGACTGGACTGGCCTGGCCTGGCCTGGCCTGGACTGGACTGGACTGGCCTGGACTGGACTGGCCTGGACTGGCCTGGACTGGACTGGCCTGGCCTGGCCTGGACTGGACTGGACTGGCCTGGACTGGACTGGTGACTAAATATAATGTTGGATTGAGGAACATTTCCATGATGTTTTCATGTGTCATTTTGACAAGCGTAGCCACGTGTGTGACGCAAGGCTGCACAAAGCATTGCAGTGGGAACTGTCAGTGCCTTGGCATCAGTTGTACATGTCATTAGTCAACAGCTGTTGAACAAAATGGTGAACGTTCCTAAACGCAGGCTAGGAGTAGCCTACAGAACGTCTTCTTTACTCCACCATAATCCTATAAACTCACGATGCTTTTCCACCTCGTTATACAATATATGCTAGACATCTGGTATCTCCATGCCGTAGTTCTCCCTCCTCCATCTGAGGCGTGTGAGTCAACTCATGCTTTTTTACTTTTTCTTACTGCACACGGCCACACGACCAAAGCATCCCTTAGGAGCTAGGGGGCGGCAACGAGCATTCACCCCCCAGGCGATGTATTGTACTCAGTACACCGAGCAAAGCCCCATGGCAGCTGAGCTGATCACTTCACAGTCACAGTCAGTGCTCGCGTACGGGCCTTCAAGTGCCTCGTATTGGATAGAATTAAGTGTGGATACGAATGAAAGCCGTGAAGGGATTTGGTCCGTTCTCTTTTAGTGGGTTTGTGAGCCATATGTTCTGCCCAGGGACACAATAAACATCATGAGGGCTCAGTAGCTCACGCAGGGAGCAGAACACATGGGGAGCAGGCCCTGAACTCTGGGCTAAGGTCAGGCGTATTAATACGCCTCTCCCAGCAGCTTCTGCTCAAAGAGAATAGGGCAGACATAATCATAATCTGCTTCAACAGTAAAATAGAAACGTTTTGTTTGATCATTGCCAGCGTCTGATTTGGTTACAATAAGCTCACAGCTCTGAGGTGTTGCTGTTAGGCTATTGGAGATGCTATCGAGATCGGCAAAATATTGTATACAGTATCGAGACTATGGAGGAGGATGTGTTGTTTTTTGCTTGACGGGCAGGTCAAGGGTCAGCTGACAAGTAATGAAAATGTGTTAGTTTTGTGCACACACATACTGACACAAGGAGACACTCGAAAAGCTTTCCCACCACTTCAAATAAATAGGGAATATTTCCAGTAGAAATCAGTCAATAATTTAATAAAATAGAAACTATATGTGCTTGGAGGAGAGAGAAACTACAGAAAGAGAGAGAACAAGCTGTACAGAGGCACACAAGAGTCTCCTGGGACTGATGTGTGAGACAGTGGGAGGGAGATGGAGAGAGAAAGTGAAAGGCAGTGGAAGAATGATAAAGGGAAATATAGAGAGAGATGGAGCTATACAGAAAGAAAAATAGAGCAGAGGGTGTGTGTAGATGTGTGTGTGTGTGAGAGAGAGAGAGAGACAGAGAGAGAGAGAGAGAGAGAGAGAGAGAGACAGAGAGAGAGAGAGAGAGAGAGAGAGAGAGAGAGAGAGAGAGAGAGGTAGACAGAGAGACCGAGATAGACAGAGAGACAGAGATAGACAGAGAGAGGTAGACAGAGAGACAGAGATAGACAGAGAGAGGTAGACCGAGAGTGAGAGAGTGAGACAGAGCGAGAGAGTGTGACAGAGAGAGAGCGCGCGCGAGAGAGAGAGAGAGCGCGAGAGAGAGAGAGAGACAGAGAGACAGAGAGAGAGAGACAGAGAGACAGAGAGAGAGAGAGAGAGAGAGAGACAGAGAGAGACAGAGAGAGACAGAGAGAGAGACAGAGAGAGAGAGACAGAGAGAGAGAGACAGAGAGAGAGACAGAGAGAGAGAGACAGAGAGAGACAGAGAGAGAGAGAGAGAGAGAGAGACAGAGAGCAAGAGTGGGAGAGCTTCCAGACCCAGATCATAGTAGGATCACAGTCTTGTGTTCTGCATCTCAATGGACGCCCAGCCACCAATACTGATGAGCCACAGAGTGTGTGATGTCCCATATACAGCGTTATCTGTTATGGGTAAACGGGTGGACAGACACTGATAGAAATCATAGTCCCTGCCTCTACCCACTGTTCCCTAAACTCCACTTTGACGTGTATATTCATATCCTTCACTGGATTCAATGCTATTCACCATAGCATTGTTTCAAATCCATGAAAGAGCAAGGGGTTCAGATTGAGTCAGTATTTGGTGATGAGCGATTAGCTTGCAGTATTCTCTGAAAGGAATAAAATACTAAAAACCATAAGATGAAAATCTGTGTCTTCAATTCATAATAATTCTCTGTTTTGTTTTACCTTAACGTTCTACGTTTAATCCCTCTCAACAGATGCTAACATTCCACTGAGGAAAACGCTTCTACAAATCTGCCCCAGATACTGCGGCGGCCAGGGGGTGTGACGTAACGTTAATGCTTTTACCTCCGGTTTATAGGAATGTTTCGTAAGTGCTGTTTATTGGTCACCAATGGAAAAAACACCCCATGGCCCTAATTGTGCCATTTACTCTTGTTCCTGAAGTGTAGTTAGTATTCATGACTTTGTTAGGAACAGATGGTTAGAGACCCTGAACGCCTGATGCTGTGATGAAACATTCATACCACTTCCTGTGGGACTCAGACCTTTTACTCGGGGGTGTAGGTATCGTGGTCTATTACCCTCTGTTCTGTGACACCCTTTTCACCAGTATTCCCCCGTTTCCCCTTGACAGAAAGACGATCCTGGAAAAAAGTTTGACTGCAACATTCACTATTTATTGCGCAGTTGGTCTTGTACAGTCCAATGTTGTCATCACAAGTCCTATAAAAGTCAGTTTTCCGCCCGGTACGGGGGACTCAGTCACCCCTAGATGGAATGGCAACATTCACTTGGTGTTGATGCAACAGCTGGCATACAGGAAATCTACCAGGACGGTACCTTGTATTTAGTTAAGATGGCTGAAAGTAAAAGTCAATGGTCTTCACTATGAAATCCTTCTGAGTTGAATTTACATTTGTAAACTGGTGTGTTTTACTCAAGTTTTTTTTCTTTAAATCAAACATTTTTGTGCTGTTCCTAAATCAACAAGGGAGCTCCCGCCCTCAGATGACTTTAAAAATTATTAAGTTGTAGTGCAAATTTGAAATCAAAGACAAAAACACAAACATAACCCCATGAAAATTATAAGGCAACATTTATAAATATATCAAAAATAGTCACCCGGGAACTATCTTTGTTACGAAAAAGGTACAAAAGTTTTGTCCTGCACGAGTGAGAGCGACATGTTTTTCAGTTCCTCTGCTGACTTCACTGCCTTATAGCCCAGTTGGTGTAGAACCTTCTGGCATGTCGCCTGCGTGTACTCCACCATGTCATAGGACAGTTTCAAGCGCCAGCTCTCGGCGTTGGCCGCTGAGTCTCTCACCGTACCATACTTGTGTTTGGCCGACAGCTCGGTGCTGCCCCTTGTGTTGGCCTGTATCCACTCCTCCACGCTCTTGTCCATCGGCAGACCCAGGAAGTCATATATTTCCATGGTCTTCAGCAGAGGGTTCCTGGACAGATCCTCGTAACGCACCAGCATGTACTTCCCTTTGAGCCAGTGGGGGTGGCTGAGCCCTGTGGACACAGAGCTGAGGAAGTCCTCACAAACCATTGTCAGCTGGCTGAGGTCCAGGTTGTATGGCCTCCGCCCTGTGGCCCTCCAGATCCTCCACAGACGGTAGGTGTCCCGGAAAGTCTCGATCCGCGACGACAGGATCCCGCGAGGGTCGCGCACCAACTGGATAACCTTGATGTTCAGCCGCGGATCCTCCACAAGTGCCCGCAGGTCCCCGATCTCCGGCACACGCACAACCTTGATTGCCACATGCCGCTTCTCGCGGCAGGCATCGGCCGCCAGGGTCATGTTGAGGGCGGCGCACCTCTTGACGCAGTCACCCTCCTCCACATTGGCGTCGGAGGGGCCAAAGGCGTCACACACGGGCTGCGAGCATAGCGCCCGGCTGGCCCCTCTGCGGAACAGCTTATCCGTGGTGTGGTTGGCCGGCACCGGCTTAATGTAGCTCTCTAGAAAGTAGAGGTCGCAGCCGTAGAGGCTCCGCAGGAGGTCGCGGCTGGCACCCAGCATCACCCTGCGGTCGGCTGCGTTGCGGCTGTGAGATAGCCGAGGGATCAGCGTGGTCTGCACATGGTAGAGGGGCTCGAATAGGTAGAAGATGTCGGCATGCTGGTTGAGCAGCTGGCCCACGAAGGAGGAGCCGCTGCGCGTTGTAGCCAGCACCATGATGTGGGTCTTACGGGAGGTGTTGAAGCTGAAGTAGGGGTAGTCGTCGCAGCCGGCCCGCCCCTCGATGGGGGACTCTGTCTCGGGGCCCCCAGGAGGCCACAGTTCTGGGGGCTTGGCACGGGGCAGAGCTGGAAGGGCTTGGAGGTGAGAGTCCGGATGGCGTTGTCACGCAGTGTATTCTGGTCAGCGCGTGTATTCTGTGTCAGGCAGTGCATTCTGTGCCCAGGACGCACGCAGTGTTCTGTGTCAGGCAGGATTCACTTCTGTGTCAGGCAGTGCATTCTGTGTCAGCCAGCTGTCATTCTGTGTCAGTCGCAGTGATTCTGTAGTCAGCGCAAGTGCATTCTGTGTCGGCAGTGTATTTGTGTCAGCCAGTGTATTCTGTAGTCAGTGCAGTGTATTGATGTGTCAGTGCGTGTATTCTGTGTCAGTGCGGTGTATCTTGTCAGTGCGTGTATTACTTGTGTCAGTGCGTGTATTCTGTGTCATGCAGTGTTCTGTGTCAGTGCAGGTTCTTGTCATGCAGTGTATTCTGTGTCAGTGCAGTGTATTCTGTGTCAGTGCAGTGTATTCTGTGTCAGTGCAGTGTATTCTGTGTCAGTGCAGTGTATTCTGTGTCAGTGCAGTGTATTCTGTGTCAGTGCAGTGTATTCTGTGTCAGTGCAGTTGCTTCTGTGTTAGTGCAGTGTATTCTGTGTCAGTGCGGTGTATCCTGTGCCTCTGCTTTCTATGTGACCTCCAGTGATGTGCCAGATGGCTTTCCCTCTGTTGTGGCTTGTTGCTTCCACTGAATAAGCTGATATCAAAAGTATCTTATGTCCACTGAATGTTCAATCACTAATGTACCGTTAGTTCACCCTCCACTATTCTCTGCCTTAAAGGCAGGGAGAGAGAGAGAGAGAGAGAGGAGAGAGAGAGAGAGAGAGAGAGAGAGAGAGAGAGAGAGAAGAGAGAGAGATGTCATATCAAGTAGCCAGAAATATAAATCCAAATTAATTGTTTCTCTGACCAGCCAGCTTTTGTAAGTGAAATAATGTGTCTGTGTAGATGTGAGTGCAGAAAATCATTCACAAAGACATATAAACCATCCACAGTAGCATAACGTTTGATAGTTTTAATGAATGTCATATAAAGGGGGAATTCGTTTAAAATATGAATTAACATGACAATTCAAAAGGCTTTGTGTGGAAGTGATATATTATGTAGGATAAATGCCTTTGTATTTCTGTACAAAAATGTTGTCTGTCTGAATGGTAGTCAGTCACTACATTCAACATTAATCATCATTAGCTGAGTCAGGCTACTCTGAAAGAGTGCTCAGTTCTGCTCTGATTCCACCTCAACCGAATTTCACCGAATTTGAAAATCACATCGCTGCCTGGACATCCACATTGGGAACTAAAACCCAAATGCTTTGCTGATAAATATAGAGTTTTAATATCCAATGACTTTATTCGAAACTATAGGCCTAAATGAACTTTGAAATGTCAAAATATCACAATGCTCCCTCTATCCCATATCACTACAGAACTGAGAAATGTAGGACATAACATTTTTGCTAAATAAGTCAAATGAATGGTAGGCCTAAGCATCAATTCATTTATTCTGTAGATAGAGATACCTATAGCCCAGGTTATTTCTCTGACCGACTCAATCGGATTGCCGATTGAGCAAGTAGCCCAATCTAATAAGAAATAAGACCATGATAAGTGTGCATAGCCTATTATAATTGTAACAACGCATTAAACGCCACTTTGCCACTATGTGGTTGGAATAATTGAGGCACATGTAGAAAAGTGATGCTTTAAACAGCATGCGACTGGCAGGTAATGTCTACCGACAGATCTAACGGTTTGTGTCCGTCTGTGCGCGCGGGGGGACGCAGGGTAGGCTTCTTTTATGCATAAATGCTAAATATAAACAACCCATGCACCACAACCAACTATCCAAACATAATGGAAGGCATGGATTGAATATTTGTAAAACAATAACTTTATCCATATATTGGGACATGTTTTAAATTAACCCACCCTGCTGCAATTAGATAGCATAATATAAGGGAAACACATCGAACACGTCTGTTTCCACAGGATAGCCTAGTTACCTTATTGGCGGCTGTGTTTAAGGACTGCCTTCAATCGCAAAGAAAAGCAGCAGCCGTGCGATATTTCCAATCACAGACAACCGGTCTGGTTTCTACTAAAGCGGTATCCACCGTACGCTCCTCGGCTTTGTCCCCGCTTCTGCCATTGGGATAGCGGAGAAAGAAGTGGAATAGATCCGTGCGCAATAGATCCATGAGTATTCACACTTAAGAAACCATTTACAAAACCGAATAGTGTCGGGAAACACCCTACACCGAAAAAATATGTGATTCAAATGAAAGAAGTGGAAGCTTCGTGCACTGCATCCATCGCGAACTCTGGTTTATCTGAACTGATGCGTGGAGGCAGTGTGCGTGTATGTGTGTGAGGTACGCTACACAGGGACTGAATGTCTGGACCACCCCCAAAACTCTCTCTCTCTCTCTCTCTCTCTCTCTCTCTCTCTCTCTCACACACACACACACACACGTGCGCGCGCGCGCGCACACACACACACACACACACACAGTCACTCAAATTCAAATTCAAACGCAGACACAGTCAGGTTTTTAACCCATCAAGAACACTTGTCAGCATACACGCAATCGCCACAGTGACCCTGTTACTGGCCCCCACTGGGCCTGTTATTTCTTTGGATTAGGATACGAGATTATGTCGGAAACTAGAGTAGATATTTGCTTTTCAAATAAGATATTAAGATGTTAATATCATATTTTAATAATTTGTATTTAATTGTCTATGGTACTTCTGAACCATGGATTCCCACAGTGACTTCCCATATTTGCATTTTTTTTTTAGGGTGCCATCTTGTTCATGCAATGTAAAAACATGACAGTTTCTGTTTGTGACTGGCACTCATTTACATACATTTGCTTCATAAATATGGAGGCAAATGGTGTAGTAGAATCATTGACTTGCACCCACAATGACCCCTGCAACTCTCACTCATTACAGAGGGCTCAAAAGCACTATTTGATAGGTTACATCTGCCCCAATATCCTGGGTGTCAATTTGTTTCTGCTCTCTTGCCAACTCCGTGGAATTGTCACGCCAAACAGGCAAACGCACAAACAGATCTGTGTCCAGGCTGCTGCCTCGAAGCCAGATGGTAGCAGGTCATTTCAGGTTCCAGAATCTGACCTTTGAGATGTACTTTAAATCCAAGTCACAGAAAAATAAGTAGGCCTAAAGCTATTCACATTGTGGGATATGGTTTTGAATATGGAGCTGTAGCAGTAGTGTTAACGTTTCTCCTCTAACCGGGCCGGCGTCAGCACTATGCAGCCTAGAGCTCAGCATCTCTGAGAGGGAGACTATCCAGGGGATTAACAACCCAGATATTGATAGGAGAGTGGGTGGGCTGATAATAAACAGGAAACGAGCCAGTGTTACCTCTGAGATCAGTTCAGGATACACAGGACGGGATGTTAAATATCGTATGGCTAACAGTCACACCCACCCCACACTGCATATAAAATACACACACACACACACACACACACACACACACACACACACATGTGCATGCACACAGGCAAACACAACAACATGTGGAAAAAGAAGGAGTGTGAATACTTTCTGAAGGCACTGTATGTTTTGTAATATTTGTGGTGGCTATGCGCGGAGGGTTAATATCCCAGGCAGTGTTGATAGCCTATTGACACTCATTATAAACCTTGGGAGCAGCGTTATACCAAGACGGTAAATGGTGATTTATGCCGTTTTTTTTTTTGCCTATTATCTTGAGTTGAGCTTCCTACTTGTCTCATGTTGGGTTTTGGTCAGTGTTGCCTATCCAATGTTTTATGGAAGACCTGCCAGTGAAAAGGAACAATCGCACTCTTGTCAAACACTGGAATCTTCAACTCTGCCCTCATGGTGACATTCCTGACAATCTATTCAAAATTGTTTGTCAAGGCCTTCGCTGTCTGTCCATCCATCACTGTCTCTCTGTCTGTCTGTCTGTCCGTCCATCTAGCTGTTTTTTGACTGGGCAAGCATACCAAAGAAATCTTCTTTATTGTCCTCATATGAGGCCATCACCTCTTAAATGTTCTCATGAAAAAACGATTAGCCAAATAAAACCGCTTGTCATTGAAGGCAAAATTGATTTTCGAAACCAAAGAAACCCTGTTCGTCTTGGCTGAACTAATGTGATACTTCACATGCCAGAAGAGAGAGAGAATGACGGCTTGGAAACCCTGAAAATGTTTTTGAGAGGTATCTTGTCAGCTGTATTTTTTTCTGGCGATAAACACATCAAAGGCTGGAGAGTTTTACTATGAAATGAAACTGAGAATGTGAAAAGCGTGGGGGAGTATACGGAGAATACAGTTGAAGTCGGAAGTTTACATACACTTAGGTTGGAGTCATTAAAACTCGTTTTTCAACCACTCCACAAATGTCTTGTTAACAAACTATAGTTTTGGCAAGTCGGTTAGGTTAGGACATCTACTTTGTGCATGACACAAGTAATTTTTCCAACAATTGTTTACAGACAGATTATTTCACTTATAATTCACTGTATCGCAATTCTTCTGACATTTCACATTCTTCAAATAAAGTGGTGATCCTAACTGACCTAAGACAGGGAATTTCTACCAGGATTAAATGTCAGGAATTGTCAAAAACTGAGTTTAAATGTATTTGGCTAAGGGGAATGTACGTAAACTTCCGACTTCAACTGTATATCCTCCTTTATGAAACTGAGAATGTGAAAAGCGTGGGGGAGTATACAGAGAATATATCCTCCTTTATGAAACTGAGAATGTGAAAAGCGTGGGGGAGTATACAGAAAATATATCCTCCTTTATAAAACTGAGAATGTGAAAAGCGTGGGGGACTATACAGAGAATATATCCTCCTTTATGAAACTGAGAATGTGAAAAGCGTGGGGGAGTATACAGAGAATATATCCTCCTTTTTATTGTATAACATGTAGAGAAGATGTCCTCCCTTTTATTGAATTTTAGGTATTATTAGTCAATTACTGTTTGGAATGCATTTGTTGAAAAAAATACGAACAAATCATTATACTATGTTTAGCGGTATCTGTATGATGATAGATCTTTTCTCTTCAGTATTGAATATTGTCTTGAATGTTTTTAAATCACTAGTACTACTATACTCTTTTTACCTCGGAGCTCTATTCACAACAAAACTTTTACAAATGGCAATCAACTGCACACTAACCCATTGGGTGGCTTCAACTCCTCAACATTACCAGACAAGGTTACATATCACTACGTTCACTGTTGTAGTAATGACCTTTGCATAAACTGTACAACCTGTTGGCCATGATCACCGCCTGGGCTATCAACAAATCAATCCCCCCATTAAACCCTATAGGCTTCATGGCATTTCTCTCCATGTCTATGTTCACAGTGTTGTGTGGATGTACTTTGGTTGATGCTCCCTGTGGTAGATGGGGTATTGTTGTAACCTTGGAGATGAAAGGCTCTTGGATGTGTTTACTGTGGGGCCTTTGGGAGGCCATTGCTGTTGTGGACAGCCAGTCCTGATTCTCTAGCCCGTCTCCAGAGCCCCATGTCAATAAACCCAGCTTGTGAAGCCATGTCAGGGGAGACAACCCCTTATTGGAAGGCTAGCATCTGCTGCGGCGCGATAGCCTCGTTATCGGCTAACGCTATTCTGCTTGAACATGCTTTAAAAGGATTGGGCGCCGCAGCATGAAACGACACGCTAACTGATTGTTGTTGGTTTTTCCCTTCTTCTCCTCGTTCCCCCATGATGTTGTAAGCACTTGGCGACAGTTTAGCGAGTCGTTTTACGTCTGGGCGTTTCATTCACTGCTTGAACATGGCACACAAGGATTTGGAGGGATTTGTTTTAGTCTTGTTTGTGAAAGGAACGGGAAAACAGAGACCAAGGGAGAGAAGGATCACCTGAAACCTGTGTGAGGGGAGGGGGAAAACCTGGTGTGAGGGGAAACGAGACAAGTAGAGAAGGATCACCTGAAACCTGTGTGAGGGGAAAACAGAGACCAAGGAAGGAGAGAAGGATCACCTGAAACCTGTGTGAGGGGAAAACAGAGACCAAGTAGAGAAGGATCACCTGAAACCTGTGTGAGGGGAAAACAGAGACCAAGTAGAGGAGGATCACCTGAAACCTGTGTGAGGGGAAAACAGAGACCAAGTAGAGAAGGATCACCTGAAACCTGTGTGAGGGGAAAACAGAGACCAAGTAGAGAAGGAACACCTGAAACCTGTGTGAGGGGAAAACAGAGACCAAGTAGAGAAGGATCACCTGAAACCTGTGTGAGGGGAAAACAGAGACCAAGTAGAGAAGGATCACCGAAACCTGTGTGAGGGGAAAACAGAGAGCGAGGGAGAGAAGGATCACCTGAAACCTGTGTGATGAAATACAGATGAAATACAGTATTTAATAAAATGTTACCCCAGCGCAAGACTAATGGGTCAATAATAAAAAACTAATGGGTTTAAACAAACTGCAGCTGTTTCACACTTACAGAAATTAAGTCATCCATTTTACATCCTTAGTTCAGGAAAGTATCATTAGAAATATCTGTTACACTTTATAAACCTCTTAAATGTAACTACATGTAATCTAAAATGTAATCTACGTAATCGCTGAAGTAATTATTTATAATGAGAGGGCCATAAACAATAAGTATTAATGCTGCATACTCAAAGAAAGGTTAAAATCTCACCTTTCTGGTATTTCTTTGCATAAATTGCTGAGGTTGTAGTCACTTTTGAGGACACAAGCTCAAGTACACAGTACAAATATGATACAAATATGAAAATATGAAATATTTTATATGACGTATTTCCTATTCAACAAAACTGTACGAATATCTGATGTCCATTGCTTGTGTTTCTTGGCCCAAGCAGGTCTCTTCTTCTTATTGGTGTCCTTTAGTAGTTGTTTCTTTGCAGCAATTCGACCATGAAGGCCTGATTCACATAGTCCCCTCTGAACAGTCGATGTTGAGATGTGTCTTTGACTTGAACTCTGTGAAGCATTTATTTGAGCTGCAATTTCTGAGGCTGGTAACTGACTTGTCCTCTGCAGCAGAGGTAACTCTGGGTCTTCCATTCCTATGGTCCTCATGAGAGCCAGTTTCATCACAGCGCTTGATGGTTTTTGCGACTGCACATTAAGAAACTTTCAAAGTTCTTGAAATGTTCTGTATTGACTGACCTTCATGTATTAAAGTAATGATGGACTGTCATTTCTCTTTGCTTATTTGAGCTGTTCTTGCCATAATATGGACTTGGTCTTTTACCAAATAGGGCTATCTTCGGTAAACCCCCCTACCTTGTTACAACACAACTGATTGGCTCAAACGCATTAAGAAGGAAAGAAATTCCACAAATTAAGAAGGCAAACCTGTTAATTTAAATGCATTCCAGGTGACTACCACATGAAGCTGGTTGAGAGAATGCCAAGAGTGTGCAAAGCTGTCATCAAGGAAAAGGGTGGTTATTTGAAGAATCTCAAATATAAAATATATTTTGATTTGTTTAACACTTTTTTGGTTACTACATGATTCCATATGTATTATTTAATAGTTTTGATGTCTTCATTATTATTCTGCAATGTAAAAAATTGTAAAAATAAAGAAAAACCTTTGAATGAGTAGGCGTGTCCTAACTTTTGAATGGTAGTGTACATAGTTTGTGAAACATCTATATATGCCTGATTAATGGTTAATGAGGGATTTTAAGATATACTTTGAACCATGAACAAAATATCATATACTGAACAGGGATTGGCTCATGTCTGTGAACAACAATGTTTGGTATGCACCTTGGGCAGCCGCAGTTCCTTCAGTCTCTGCATCCTCTATGCTGAATATGCATCCTTTATGCTGAATATGTACGTGACCTGGAACATCTCTCATAGCCACACACTGACAGGCTTCTACCAGTAATACTGTAAGCCCCTTAGACTGCTTGAAATTCCAACTAGGCCTTTGCCCTTGGGATTTTCTTCGTACACTAAACCCACAAAGCTTTGCCTGTCACCCTGCTGCACAGTCGTCACTGTCAAAGGTCTCTCAAATCAAAAACACTGCATATCCTCCTCTACACATGCGTATGACTGGGTTGGATTCTGTGACTTGATGAACGACTTTGTAGTCTTGACAAAAAATAACAATATGGGACTCCACTCCCATCCAAATGTGTGTGTGTGTGTGTGTGTGTGTGCGTGCGTGCATGTGTGTGTGTGTGTTTGTGTGTGTGTGTGTGTGTGTGTGTGTGTGTGTGTGTGTGTGTGTGAGCCTGTTTCCTCTGAACCACTACAAATGCTACTGATGAATGCTATCGCTGGTAGGAACATGTCTTGGCTACGTTAAGAGAAATATTGGATTCCTGCTTTTGTTGTCCTGTAATTTCCACTCGAGTACAGGTGAGCGCCATTGTGAGGCAGAAGGCATTGACAAGGTGAAACTATCCAGGTCGATACAGGAAGAGGTGGGTGGCTCTTGTCAGGTGACAGAGGGATATTGGTTGGGGGTTGAAACCTTTCTGTTCAATGGAGCCAGACCATGGTGAATGGACAACCCATATACCACTGGACTGCATCATTGATAAGGACTCTAATAGCTTTTTAAGTGTTAAGGTTAAGGCAAGGTCAAGCTAAAACAAGACAACCTTCTTCCCATGCTTTGAATATGTAGCGTACATTTCAATGAATATGCTCTTTGGTTTCTTTTCGTTTCACTATGTAATTATTGTTTGATTGAATCCATGATTGCCTACCTACTTGCGGAGCAATAATGAATGTTCAACCTCAACCTGGTCTACATTGATAAAGGCCTTTTCTCTGTATCATAACTAGCTTATACTAGCTAGTGTCTCTTATGTTGTATCATGCAGCTCAGCAAGTGCTAGCGACGGGTTCAGTTTTTTGGCAAAGAAGCCACCCTGACATAATCTGTAGTAACAGAGGTCACTATTGGGTGAAGAACTCCAATGTTTTTCTGTGTTAGTCGCTTTTCAAGATACTAGTCCTCAGTCCTTCTCTGTCTGCTCCGGAGGTGGTCATCTGATAGCCTAGCGGAGGACAGGCTAGCGCCAAGCAACAGTCACAGGGCATTAGTCAGAGCCGAGAGGAGCCTATCGCTAGCCCTTAACTTTAGCCTGATGCTAAGCTGTTGTGACATTGCCACAGCCAAACACTGTGATTCTGGGGAGCTTCTTCCTCTTCTTCTTCTTCTTCTTCTTCTCTTCTTCTTCTTCTTCTTCCTCTTCTTCTTCTTCTTCTTCTTCTTCTTCTTCTTCTTCTTCTTCTTCTTCTTCTTCTTCTTCTTCTTCTCTGCTTCTTCTTCTTCTTCTTCTTCTTCTTCTTCTTCTTCTTCTTCTTCTTCTTCTTCTTCTTCTTCTCATTCTTCATTCTTCTTCTTCTTCTTCTTCTTCTTCTTCTTCTTCTTCTTATGTTTTTGTTTAGTTCACTATCACTACATCACTTTACCACTCCATTACCAGCAGTCACTATCTCTACATCACTTCACCACTCCATTACCAGCAGTCACTATCTCTACATCACTTTACCACTCCATTACTAGCAGTCACTATCTCTACATCACTTCACCACTCCATTACCAGCAGTCACTATCTCTACATCACTTCAACACTCCATTACCAGCAGTCACTATCTCTACATCACTTCACCACTCCATTACCAGCAGTCACTATCTCTATATCACTTCAGCACTCCATTACCAGCAGTCACTATCTCTACATCACTTTACCACTCCATTACCAGCAGTCACTATCTCTATATCACTTCTGCACTCCATTACCAGCAGTCACTATCTCTATATCACTTCACCACTCCATTACCAGCAGTCACTATCTCTACATCACTTCACCACTCCATTACCAGCAGTCACTATCTCTATATCACTTCACAACTCCATTACCAGCAGTCACTATCTCTATATCACTTCTGCACTCCATTACCAGCAGTCACTATCTCTACATCACTTCACCACTCCATTACCAGCAGTCACTATCTCTACATCACTTCACCACTCCATTACCAGCAGTCACTATCTCCATATCACTTCTGCACTCCATTACCAGCAGTCACTATCTCTATATCACTTCACAACTCCATTACCAGCAGTCACTATCTCTATATCACTTCACAACTCCATTACCAGCAGTCACTATCTCTATATCACTTCACAACTCCATTACCAGCAGTCACTATCTCTATATCACTTCACAACTCCATTACCAGCAGTCACTATCTCTATATCACTTCACAACTCCATTACCAGCAGTCACTATCTCTACATCACTTCACCACTCCATTACCAGCAGTCACTATCTCTATATCACTTCAGCACTCCATTACCAGCAGTCACTATCTCTACATCACTTTACCACTCCATTACCAGCAGTCACTATCTCTATATCACTTCAGCACTCCATTACCAGCAGTCACTATCTCTACATCACTTTACCACTCCATTACCAGCAGTCACTATCTCTACATCACTTCACCACTCCATTACCAGCAGTCACTATCTCTATATCACTTCAGCACTCCATTACCAGCAGTCACTATCTCTACATCACTTTACCACTCCATTACCAGCAGTCACTATCTCTATATCACTTCTGCACTCCATTACCAGCAGTCACTATCTCTATATCACTTCACAACTCCATTACCAGCAGTCACTATCTCTATATCACTTCTGCACTCCATTACCAGCAGTCACTATCTCTACATCACTTCACCACTCCATTACCAGCAGTCACTATCTCTACATCACTTCACCACTCCATTACCAGCAGTCACTATCTCCATATCACTTCTGCACTCCATTACCAGCAGTCACTATCTCTATATCACTTCACAACTCCATTACCAGCAGTCACTATCTCTATATCACTTCACCACTCCATTACCAGCAGTCACTATCTCTATATCACTTCAGCACTCCATTACCAGCAGTCACTATCTCTATATCACTTCAGCACTCCATTACAAGCGTCACTATCTCTATATCACTTCTGCACTCCATTACCAGCAGTCACTATCTCTACATCACTTCACAACTCCATTACCAGCAGTCACTATCTCTACATCACTTCAACACTCCATTACCAGCAGTCACTATCTCTACATCACTTCACCACTCCATTACCAGCAGTCACTATCTCTATATCACTTCAGCACTCCATTACCAGCAGTCACTATCTCTACATCACTTCACCACTCCATTACCAGCAGTCACTATCTCTATATCACTTCAACACTCCATTACCAGCAGTCACTATCTCTACATCACTTTACCACTCCATTACCAGCAGTCACTATCTCTACATCACTTCACCACTCCATTACCAGCAGTCACTATCTCTACATCACTTCACCACTCCATTACCAGCAGTCACTATCTCTATATCACTTCAGCACTCCATTACCAGCAGTCACTATCTCTACATCACTTCACCACTCCATTACCAGCAGTCACTATCTCTACATCACTTCACCACTCCATTACCAGCAGTCACTATCTCTATATCACTTTACCACTCCATTACCAGCAGTCACTATCTCTACATCACTTCACCACTCCATTACCAGCAGTCACTATCTCTATATCACTTCAACACTCCATTACCAGCAGTCACTATCTCTACATCACTTCACCACTCCATTACCAGCAGTCACTATCTCTATATCACTTCACCACTCCATTACCAGCAGTCACTATCTCTATATCACTTCACCACTCCATTACCAGCAGTCACTATCTCTATATCACTTCACCACTCCATTACCAGCAGTCACTATCTCTACATCACTTCACCACTCCATTACCAGCAGTCACTATCTCTATATCACTTCACCACTCCATTACCAGCAGTCACTATCTCCATATAACTTCACCACTCCATTACCAGCAGTCACTATCTCTACATCACTTCAACACTCCATTACCAGCAGTCACAATCTCTACATCACTTCAACACTCCATTACCAGCAGTCACTATCTCTACATCACTTCACCACTTCATTACCAGCAGTCACTATCTCTACATCACTTCACCACTTCATTACCAGCAGTCACTATCTCTACATCACTTCAACACTCCATTACCAGCAGTCACTATCTCTATATCACTTCTGCACTCCATTACCAGCAGTCACTATCTCTATATCACTTCAACACTCCATTACCAGCAGTCACTATCTCTACATCACTTCACCACTCCATTACCAGCAGTCACTATCTCTATATCACTTCAACACTCCATTACCAGCAGTCACTATCTCTACATCACTTCAACACTCCATTACCAGCAGTCACTATCTCTACATCACTTCACCACTCCATTACCAGCAGTCACTATCTCTATATCACTTCTGCACTCCATTACCAGCAGTCACTATCTCTATATCACTTCTGCACTCCATTACCAGCAGTCACTATCTCTACATCACTTCACCACTCCATTACCAGCAGTCACTATCTCTACATCACTTCAACACTCCATTACCAGCAGTCACTATCTCTATATCACTTCACAACTCCATTACCAGCAGTCCGGCGCCACACAACTGACTCAATACAAAGTGGACGTGTGATGGCCTGCTAAAGAGGCCTCTTCCCCTGATTTAACTTAATCAATGGACAAACTTTCTTTCCGACGTTGAAAGTAATCTAATGTCAAGATGAGTCTATGTCTTACTACACCATCTGTTTGTATTTGTATTTGTATTTATGATGGATCCCCATTAGTTCCTGCCAAGGCAGCAGCTACTCTTCCTGGGGTTTATTATGGATCCCAATTAGTTCCTGCCAAGGCAGCAGCTACTCTTCCTGGGGTTTATTATGGATCCACATTAGTTCCTGCTAAAGGCAGCAGCTACTCTTCCTGGGGTTTATTATGGATACCAATTTGTTTCTGCCAAGGCAGCATCTTCTCTTCCTGGGGTCCAGCCAAATTAAGGCAGTTATACAATTTAAGAAATATGACAATACAATAACAACAGATTTCAGAACACATTAAGTGTGTGTCCTCAGGCCACTACTCTACTACCACATATCTACAACACAAATCCATGTGTACGTGTGTGTATAGTGCGTATGTTATCGTGTGTGTGTGTATGCATGTGTCTGTGCCTGTGTTTGTGTTGCTTCACAGTCCCTGCTTTTCCATAATGTGTATTTTTATCTGTTTTTAAATCTAATTTTACAGCTTGCATCAGTTACTTGATGTGGAATAGAGTTCCATGTAGTCTTGGCTCCATGTAATACTGTGCGCCTCCCATAGTCTGTGTGCCAGTAGTTCAAACAGACAGCTCGGTGCGTTTAACATGTCAAAACCTCTCACGAATACAAGTAGTGATGAAGTCAATCTCTCCTCCACTTTGAGCTAGGAGAGATTGACATGCTAATGTTAATGTTAGCTCTCTGTATACATCTAAGTGCCAGCCGTGCTGCCCTATTCTGAGCCAATTGCAATTTTCCTTAGTCCCTCTTTGTGGCACCTGACCACATTTCTGAACAGGAGTCCAGGTGCGACAAAACTAGGGCCTGTAGGACAGACTTCTCCCCATCTTAGCTGCTGTTGTATCAGTATGTTTTGACCATGACAGTTTACAATCCAGGGTTACTCCAAGCAGTTTAGTCACCTCAACTTGCTCAATTTCCACATTATTAATTACACGATTTAGTTGTTGACCTGGCTACTGTATGCCCTAATCCCAATTCAATCATATACATCTGAAGGATAGGCATCTAAAATGATACAAATTAGATGTGCTTAAAATAATATATAGCTGGATCTACTTAACAGATGGGGTGGGATATGATCTCAGCTCATCAGACCACTTTCGAAATCTGAAAAGGTCTGACAAACTTTGATTTCGCAGTGAACTATCATTTTATATTCACTCTGATACTTTGGGCTGTCCTAAAGCACTCTTGCTAACCAACCGCCCAACCATCATAATGGGAAGAGTGTTGTCCATCCAGATGAGAGCACTTCTTCATTTGATCATTCACTGACCCTAGTTCAGTTTGCTGGTTCATTACCAGGACAGTCATGTGTGTACATGGCAAATATCCATCTATCATTCAATCAACATTTATTCCTGTCCATCTGCCTCACTCAACAAGATCCCATCTTTCTTCAATTACATGATGACAACAAAGTGCTCTGTAACACTCCGACAAGAGTTCCTCCGGCTTTCAGAGTAGAGTGTCAGAGTGAACTCACGAATGCATCCCTCTCTAGCTTTTCATCATCAGACCTGAGAACACTGTTCGTATGCTCACAGATTTGACAGGTCCTCGCCTCCTGTGAAGGATCATAGTTCTCATCACATGACAGGGAAGTCCCCTCCCTCCATAGTCCCCATCACAT